AGCCAAGGGACGAGGCCTCTGATCTCCCCTGCGCTGTAAAAAGTCAGGTGCAGTGCTGGGTCTTCGGTTACGAGGAATATTCATCACAGAAACTTTATAAATCTGGAGCGTGTGTGGAGCGGCGGGTTAATTCTCTCCCTCATCCGCCACACAATGCCTTCACTTAAAAAACACTGAGCAGACTTATCAAAAATTCTCCGCTGACTCGCCTCGTCCAATATGCCAGTCAAGAATTTTTGAGATATGAGTCGCCAGGCGGGTCGTTAACGACATAAACTGACAGTATGAGGCAAGTGCATCGTATATACTCATCAAGCCTAAGTTGTCTGTCTGTATTTACGATCCCGATAAACTCTCAGACTGAACAACACACAGAAGTTATATATATCTCACCGGAAAGGTCTTTCATCAGGGAGAGTCTTGGTAATTAAAAATAAATAAATAACAAATGTCGCAGACGGCGTGGATAACCTGCCGGGGAGGGAGGAGGGGATAACGTGCACACGAGAGGTTCACCGCCAGTACTGTATAACAATACTCGCCTTTGTTGACCTGTGAACATCACTCAAAGAGGTAGTACATATCATCTGGTGATCGTGTGTATGAAGTCTGAAGACACAGTGCCCTATACGCCTTAATAGGCAAGTCACACTACCGTGCTTGTCAGTGACTCATTCTTCAGGAGGTAAATAGTGTCATTATATGTTGAAGACAGCAGCAGGGCGTGACCAGGTTTTCAAACAGCTGGGTCACGGTGACCTATTTCTATTTACAGGAGTTATATTGTGTTATTGAGATGATCACACTTATGAAGGCTGATGACTGCAGCGTGTGGCTTAAGTGTAGAACAAAAGGCGGCTCTTAAACTGGGCATGACCTAACCTCTATAGCATTACATGGAGAAGGTCAACATCTTTTAGCGAAGATAACTACAACATACAAGCAGCAGAGACTCACTAGACACAACTACGTCAATATTATTGTTGTTGTTCACTTTTGTTTCTGTATTTTTCTGTCTTTATAAACTCTTTCAATTTCAGTAACCTAACACAAAAATCATCCTCGTTAGATACAAGACGGTGTGACCAGACCTTCAAAAAAGTAATCCATGAAAAAAGTTAAATAGTTCTACAGCTTCACTAACGGTAGGGAGGGAGGCAGGGAGGCGCCACATGGACCTCCTACTGCTCGACGCTGCAGTAGTATTGGTAAAAGTTCAACTGGTGCAGCGGCCGAGACACCAAAACTATGTTCTGAATATCCAAATGATGTCTTACATTTCACCTCTGACTTCTAACAATTTCCAACCTTAATTTTTTTTCCTCGTGTAGTTCGAGTCCCTAACATTTCGGCTCACCTGTAATTCTCAAAGACACACAGGTAAAATTATCTTCTAAATACAAATACGAGATGATACCAAACTCGCTTTATTTAACCGTGGCGCAAAGGTGGCGGCCATAATGACGTCGAAATTACGCTGAGACTCGACTTTAACTACACGGTAAGCTTGCCTGAAATACGACTTTGTCAACACAACATCCTCTGCATTATCTCATTCTCTCTTTGTTCTCTCGTTATTTTTGTCTTTACATTCTCCCTGTTCTTTTGTCTGTTTTATTAGAGCTGTTCTCATCATGTTTTGTTTTTTTATTGTAGTTTGTTCAATATGCTTATGAAGAATATTTTTGTTTCATTAGTAACTCTTTGACGCCTCACCCCTCCTTGTCCTCACTGTGTCACTATGTATCATCATCATCACCATCATCATCATCATCATCATTATCATCATCATCTTGTTACCAGAATCTTGTGTCTCTTTATGTTTCTATTTGTTTATCACAACAAAAGAAGTCATCCGTGCCTTTGGGAGACGTTTCCTATGTTGACTTAAGACAATAGACCACAATGTTAGCCTGAGTCGAGATCCTTGGAGCGAGAGAGAAGACCACGTGACACACAGCTGGCCACCGCTATCACAAGGTTGTCTGTGTGTAGTGCAGGAGGGAGGAGTGGCAGGGGTGTGGGATGTGGGAGAGGCCCCTGGAATCGACACAGGTAAACGCCCAGGTAAAATGCCGAGGTAGACGCTCTCATAAGGATACATTATCAAGGGAAACTCCCCGTCGGCCTGGCTCACCCTAATACTGTTTCCTCACTCTTCATAAACTCTTTGGGTGCGAATTCTTATACGGAAATTATCATGAGTTCAACCTGACATTATTTTACTATGTGACTGATCTGTAATATAATAATAATAATAATAATAATAATAATAATAATAATAATAATAATAATAATAATAATAATAATAATAATAATAATAATAATAATAATAATGGATGCCCCTCGTGTAACGAGGATGGCCAACCCAAGGGCCACCTAGGCGTGAATTTCTTTAAGGTGTAGAAGCTGTCGCCAACACAACAACCAGTGTCAAGGAATAGTCAGAGAAAACCAGATAACTCGCCAACTGCACTGGCTAACCATTACCCTGGAACATGCAGGTCCCCAATTACTGCTGGGTAGACAGAGGTAACTGGCGTAAAGAAACTTGCCCATAGTTTCACCCTGCCCGGAGATCGAACTCGGGTCCGCTTGTTTGCGAGGCGAGCATGCTGACCATTACACCACAGGACGCCAATCTGAAATATAGGATTGTATTCACAGTCGTTACACCACGCGACCGATCGGGATCACCATCGAGTGTGGTTATTCAGAGACGCCTACAGACCCGAAGGCAGTTCCGGTGATCAGGTTTCCTATCGGGAGTGTTGGAACAATTTATCGGGAGGGCAGTCGTGATGAATATAAAACCCTTTTCACCCTCCAAATTTTGATATATTGGAATAGAATACATTCAAAACTGATAGAAAATGAGTTTGTTGGTGACAGAAATTGTTTTTTACATATACATTCAAAGATTAATTGTCAGTTATTTACTTGTGTTAAATAGTCCCGACTTTTCTCTTTTTATCACAGCTCCAGGGATCATATGCCTTGTCTTGTAAAATCTTCCCTCTCTCTTGAATGAGGCTAACTAGACCATTGCACTGTTTAAAAGAGAGCGATATGCTGCGTTCATGGCTATCCATATTTCCCGCGCCGTGTTGTGACAGCTGACTCGAGGTACACCAACCACCGGTCATTCCAGAGTGGCCAGGACCTTCATAACAAACCTCACAAACACCAGACAATAGTAATTTCTATATCACATTGATATCACCTAAACACTTTTATGTTCGTTTGGTCAAATGTGACTTTTTTTTTACTGATGGTTATTTTTTTGTATTTATTTATTATTATTGTGTGTGTGTGTGTGTGTGTGTGTGTGTGTGTGTGTGTGTTCGGGTACTCAACGCCTGGGTTGTGGCATCAGTGGGTCAACCAGTCGATTTGGAAATGTTGGTAACCCTGCCCGGTTGATCGTAGTGCCCGAAGCACGTTCTTGAAAAACCTCGCCCTACGGCCCATAATCCTAAGGTATCTCTCACATCCATTCCTTCAAGACCACTAAAAAAATAAAATCAAAATAGTAAATTAATACTCAAAATAAAGAGTTTTCCAGATTACTATATATATATAAACTGTTATTAGAAAAGTTGAAAACTAAAATGGAAGGTAAACTGGGGTCTTTCCATTACTCCAGCGAGGCACAAAACAACATTTTTACTGCGATAACAAAAGTTTGGGAACATCAGGCGGGCGTCGTGTGACCACCGGGCGCTAATTAAAAGGTCCACACCCACCAGATTACCCCCCCCCTCCCCTTCTATTAATTCTCTCCTCCTCCCCCTCCCTTCTTTCTTTCCCCTTCTACACCTCTTCCTCCACTCATTATCCTTTCTTGCCCCTTTCCTCTTTTCTCTCCCAGTTTCTTCCTTATCCCTCCCCCTCTCTCTTTCCTCCTTCCCCTCTCCGTTCCTTCCTACTTCCCACTTTCCCCTCCCAGTCCCATCCCTCTTTTTACTTCCCCACCCTTCCCTTCTCCCCCTCTACACCGGCTCTCCCCGACAGTCTCTAGACTTAACGTGTACAGTGATCCAAGACACCACATGTTAACTTTTACCTGAGGTGGGGTGGGGGGGCTAAATTGGCACTGGCACGAGTAAGGAAGGCAGCCAAGAGAATGGAAAAGAGAGTTGGCGTCAGTACACACCCTTGTTTTACCCCCGTTTGGATGGGGAAGAACTCAGACTGGGTGCCATTGTGCCGTTCATGCCATCGTGGAGTTGCCTCACAACGGCGATAAATTTTGGGGGGCAGCCAAATCGGCTGAGGGTCCGCCAGAGGTGCTTTCCTGTTGACTTTACCTCCAGTATACCGTACATGTCATCAACCTATGCTAATGAAAACTTTAGGAGATCAACTTTTAGGAATCAGATGAATAAACTAAAGCCTTAAGGATAAGACAAAAAATGGCTTTGCAACTAACATACAATATACGAATCAGATAAAGAAAAAACAATAATAACAGTGATAAGTAAAAAGACTGAAGAAATAAGTAACATGAACCAAGAAGAGACGAAGAAATAAAAATAAAAAAAATACAAAAAAAGTAACAGTGAAGAAAGTTAAAAAGAAAAGTACATATAAAGTAACTAAACAAAACAATAAAGGTGAAAAGGTTAATTTAATCACCCAAAATCATCAAGACTGAACTAAAAGGTAAACAATAATAATAACTAAGGTTGAAAAGTTCCACAAAGTTCCACAAGAAATATACCACGAGTACTGCCAGGTTCAGGTGACCAGGCAGGTCCTTAAACACACCTATCTTACCCAATTCTCTAAGTACATCCCATAATGAATTCTCCAAGTACACGTCTCAATCTATTCTCTAAGTATATTTCTTAATCAATTTCCTAAGTACATGTCTTAATCAATTCTTTAAGTACATGCCTTAATCAACTAAGAACACGTCTCAATCAATTCTCTAACTTCATGTCTTAATCAATTTTCTAAGTATAGGTCTTAATCAATTCTCAAAACACAAGACCTACCTGACAAGCTGACCGTCTTTAAACCAGCGGATGGTGGGTGGCGGCTTCCCCTCCGCATTGCAGTTGAGGGTGGCTGGCTCACTCCTTGGCACCGTCATGTCCGTTGGGTGTTCGGTGATCCTAGGCGACCGGAGGGATCCTGTGAAGGAGAAAAAGGATGGAGACGGCATTAAGAGGCGATCCTGATGGCTTTTGGTCATAAGTTAAAAAAAATTGAATGATTCTGAAGTATTAAAGAGAAGATGAAATAAATCAAGCGAAAAAAAAATAAAAAAAATAAATCCCGAAGGAGAAATTAGACGAGAGGTAACGAAGGGGGATTTACAGGTAAGACCAATTAACACAGAAAGCCAAGATACCTGTAGCCATAACAAGCATAAAAACAGAGAGATACCCAAAAGAAAGCTCTATAACAAGACGCTGTGGGATGAACTCAGAGATCACCATGCGTACAATAACCTCACCTTCCTACTGTTGTGTATATACCGTGTAATAACCGCAAGCAGGAACCAACCCACAACAGGTACACGCAATCAAGCACCAGGTGTGGCTATGTTGAGTGTTATCTGTGTGTGTGTGTGTGTGTGTGTGTGTGTGTGTGTGTGTGTGTGTGTGTGTGTGTGTGTGTGGACAGTTTGCTCAGTGTATGAATGTTTTTTTTAGTATAAATATCTTGGACGCGTCTCAAGTGCTGTTCCTCTTGGTGTCTTTAATGGCTTACGTCTTTCATCATCGAGTTCTCTTGTTCTTCTTTTTCCTTGTATCTATATTCTTGTATATCTGTCTATATTTTCTTGTTTCTTTTACTTGTTTTTTCCTCCTCCTTTCTATCTTCTTCTATTTATTTCAATCTTCTTCTTCTCCCTCTTCTACAACTTCTCCTTCTTCTTCTTCCTCTTCTTCTTCATCGTCTGCACTACGATGTTTTTAATTTGAATCAACAAAACTTCATCCACATCTTTCAGTTCTCGACTACAAAATAGAGATAAGCAACACGATATGTAGCTGAGAGAGAGAGAGAGAGAGAGAGAGAGAGAGAGAGAGAGAGAGAGATGCCTGTGTGGTAATGGAACAATGACATCAAGAGGAAGTTACAGCAATTATAGTTTTACACATATTACTAAAACACAAAACCAGGCCAAGTAAAATGTCGTATCCTCCTTCCACACACACACACACACACACACACACACACACACACACACACACACACACACACACACACACACACACACACACACACACACACACACACACACACACACACACACACACACACACACACACACACACACACACACACACACACACACACACACACATACACACACACACACACACACACACACACACACACACACACACACACACACACACACACACACACACACACACACACACACACACACACACACACACACACACACACACACACACACACACACACACACACACACACACACACACACACACACACACACACACACACACACACACACACACACACACACACACACACACACACACACACACACACACACACACACACACACACACACACACACACACACACACACACACACACACACACACACACACACACACACACACACACCACACACACACACACACACACACACACACACACACACACACACACACACACACACACACACACACACACACACACACACACACACACACACACACACACACACACACACACACACACACACACACACACACACACACACACACACACACACACACACCCCTAGGCGACCAGGCAGAGTTCATGATAAATGTCGAGGACATGGCAGGTTGGGGCATAACGAGGCTTTCAAACAAGCAGCAAGTGTCAAATATCGGTGTAACAAAGAAACTATAGGTAACTTCCCAGGTAGCAATCTCAGGTAACCCAGTGATACCACCAAGTGAGTTTGGCAATACTAGGTAACACCATCTATGCTACTAACCCTAGGTAACACAAGCTGACCCTAAGTAACACCAACTAACCCAAGGTAACACAAGCTGACCCTAAGTAACACCAACTAGCTCTAGGTAACACCAGCTGACCTTAGGTAACATCAGCAGACCCTAAGTAACACCAACTGACCCTAGGTAACACCAGCTGACCCTAGGTAACACCAGCTGACCTTAGGTAACACCAGCTGACCCTAGGTAACACCAGCTGACCTTAGAGCCCCTCCAGATCATCATGTCTAAACTCAACTCGAAAATATTTTGTATGTTCCCGCAGGTAATATTTCCCGTGGTTAACGAGGCTGAAGAAAATGACAGGCGCGTTAATTAATGCATGCCTGGGGAGGCCTCTTTATATATTATATATAAATTTATTCCACCAAATACAACAACAGGGAAATATTTATCATTACGTATTACAACGAAATAGTCTGGTCGACCCGTACAAAAATTCATGACCTGATATTTTTACATTAGAGATTATTTAACAGCAATTTCCTTATTGGTACTAAAATTTATTACTCCAATACCTTTTTTCTATTCAAACAAAACTTCTTCAATAAAAGGCTTTGTGTTTTTTTATTTGTGTATTGTGGAACTTTTGAACGACAAAATTCCCCCAATAAAGAGCACTTATCAACAAATTCCAGACCAATACCAAAAAAATACCAATACTTTCTGATTTATTGTAAATATAATTCCTTGTACTCCACTCAAAGCAGATCTTGTTAACATTCAATTTCAGGAAAAACATTCACTCTACACTTGACCATAATTCTGGAAATTAAAAACAACGATTGAAAATTCAGGACAGGAGACTTTAGAGTAAATTGATCAGCTGTTGTGGGTGAAGCCTGAGAGCCAGCCAGCGAGCCAGCCAGCCAGCCACGACGGCCTTAAAATAAACCCAAATTGCTCTCCAACTTGTCAAAAATTCTGACGCATAATTTCAGACCTGACTCGTAATCTTGTCGCCGCCAACACATGCCTCCATTTTTTTTTCTCTTTCTTCTTCTTCGTAAAATTTCATCACACGTCAAAGAAAATCGAATTTGCATGACACCAGAACTTGTGATTTCACGACGCATCTGAAAATCGAATTCGTGTGAAGATACGATAATTTGGCCACAAGTTGACAATAGAGGGTAAGTGTGTAATCGAGTTTTGTGAGAAGGCAGATTTGTTGTGTTCATGTTTTGAGTTCATGATAAGTTTGGTTAGTTGTTGTTGTTGTTGTTGTTGTTTTTACTTAGACTGAAGAAACCATTAGAAAACATAATCAAGCAGGACAATGAGTATGAAACCATAAATATTGTTAAGTTGAGGTTTTCTAATTTACCTGAAATGTTATATTTTTTGGGAGAAAGAAATCATCAGAAAACTTGAAATATATTCACATTATACCAGACCAACTGTTTCAAATTTCAATATAGATAATTTATAATATATCTAAATGATTATTCTTAAACAATAAAACATAAAAAAGAAGATAAATAATTACAGCCACATCAAGTTTTTCTCTGAACCTTTAGGGGACGACAAAAATTTCCCAAACACCTGTAAGACTCAGGGGCCCCGGCTTTTATACCTACTTGGCCGCCGGGTAAGTAGGTATAAAAATTTTACCCCCCTGAACATATTTTGTGCTTGACCGGGTATTTTACGGGTCTATGGGCACTACCAAGAGGCTAAAACCCGGCCAGACAATGGCCGCCTTTATTGATTGAAAAATGGTAATCCGGATGAAAATTCTCCCCAAGAAAGAAAAAAGTATATTGCTTGTGAATTTAAGAACTATGGAAGTGTTATTGGCTTAAGATTTGTTTGCCTGGTGGAGTGAAACGTGATGGAGCGTGAAGGTACTCTCTCTCTCTCTCTCTCTCTCTCTCTCTCTCTCTCTCTCTCTCTCTCTCTCTCTCTTTCACAAGGATTACTCTCTCTATCCTACACTTCCCACATGTACTTCCCTCCCCAACCACGGCCTCTCTCCCTCCCCATGGAAACCTCCCTCACCATGTAACAACGTAAAAGCACCAGCCAGCCGTCACCACTACAAAGGACGGGTCTGCAGAGCTTCCCCAACACCAATTAGGGGCGTCTGTGGTGGTGACGACTGATGACCCAAACACTGTGTCTCAGCAGAGCACCCCAGAACCCCTTCCTTCCTCACCTCGGTCACGTCTCCTCCCTACACCTAAAAATATCCAGCCTCATATCTTTTTCTTTCTATTTTCTAAGATTACGATCAACTGCCATTCCCATCCTCACCCCCACAAATAAAAATCCTGTACTGTATCTTTCAGTTATTTTAAAATGTCCAAAAACTTGCACATATCCCAGTTAAAAACATCTAACGCTATATATATCTTGTTCCTATTCTCAAAGACCATGAAGATTAGACACCCCATTTTATTTTACCTGAAATTTAACAATCCTAAAGCCATCGGGAAAATTTAGGTTAGGTTAGGTTAGCGTTAAGTTGGTTAGGTTAGGTTAATCTTCAGGTTAAATATACCGAGGTGTCTAATCGTCAAGTGACCCCAACTTACACGTACAGTATACACGACCTTACCTGGACCTGCCCTGGGTACTCTTAACATCCCACAGTCAACAACAGTATCTAAATAATATTTGTCATTATGGTAACCCAGACACTATCGGGAGCTGTTCCTCGACACTACCTCTGAGTTTATTTCACCACACCCCTGTAACATCACTCATCACAACCCCCACTTCACCCCTGTAACACCCTCACCACACGTCTGTAACACCACTCACCACGCCACATACATCTTTACGTAGCAGCGCCTTTGTTACGCGCCACACCTGTGCATAATATTTACCTGGCCTTCACCTGGGGCCACCACCTGCCTCATGGGAACACCTGTGTCACCTTGAATGATGTCCACGACGTAAATATTCACTCGTAATGTTCCCTCTTCTGATATTTTTATTTTCCTGACAACATACAATGCATTTTAGTACCTATTTTTGGGTAAGATTTTTAATATCGCAAATATTATGTAATTGTGATGTAAGACGTGAATAAGTACAATGTTTTGGTAAATGTGTTTCCCCCCAGTGCCCACCCCCCTCCCCTGACTTACCTACCTCCCACACACACTTTGTTTTTCTTTTTACATACAGCTCTCCTCCCCTGCTCTCTCTCTCTCTCTTTCCCTTGGCTTCTTTCCCTCTCTTCTTCCCTCTCACACACACACCTCGCATGACTTCCCTCCCTCCTACACGCCCCCACACACACATCTCCCCCTGGTTACTATCCCTCCCTCCCTCCCTCCCTCCCTCCTACATACACAACTCTCTCCCTCACACACACACACACCCCTTCCTCCCCCACACCATTACTCACCTCCCTGGGCCAGCTCGTCTCGCTTCTCCTTCACTATCACTATCACCGCAGCCATGAGCCTACCCCATCCCCTCCATCACCATTAAGGGACGCCCCATCACCATCATTATCGACGTGGCAGCTTCCCAGGCAACCACCGCGGGACTCTCAAGCGTTCGTACCTTCAGTTTTGCTCCCTCCTTCCCTCCCTCCCTCCCACCCTCACCCCCAGCTAGAGACCTCCTATGGCACCCTGACTAATGTCTCACTTAACAAACATTGATGGATATTCTGACAGGATCGTGAGTTGTGTTTATATATGGTTAAGTTAGGTTTGTTTTTTCCTCACTTATAAGTTACGAAACAAAGATGTATTCTCAAACCGTCGTAAAATATTTTTCTCCCTAAATATAATAAGTGACGTCATGTGACTAACTGCCCCGTTTATAAGTTAAGAAGGTGACGACTTAACAAACCAATCACTAATGTGTATACCCATTCTATATAAATTATGTATATACTTATTTTAGCCAATGTCAATGTTTTTTTTATTCTGCTTTTTTAATTTTGTCCTTAAAACATACACACGCACAAGAGCAGACAGACAGACAGACAGACACACTTGTACACACACACACACGCACACACTACTACTACTACTACTACTACTATTACTTAGCTGTCACTCGGAATCAAGGATGACGATCAGCCAGCTATGATACAATGATATGAGTTATTAAGGATGTCACCTTGGCTGGTGAGATTTGAGGTGACTAAAGAAGCCGATACGGGACCGGCAGACTTGTTCACAGATGTTACACATCTGGAGGACTACATCGAGTGCGGGAGGGGGCGGCGGCAGCGTCTTTCCGGCGTTGGCGCTTGTCTGCCTTGGTTTGCAGTCGGGCTAACTCGAAAGTATTGACACCTTCTCGTGTGGTGCTTCTCCAAGCGTTATGATTTGGAGTAATCGACTCCTAGGTGAGGTGGTCGATTTGGCACTTTTTCAGGATTGTATTAAGACTATCCTTATACTTTTTCAGTAGCCCGCCAGCGTTACGTTTACTATTCGTTAGGTGACTGTAAAGTAGCTGCTTTGCCAGTCTACTGTCGTCCATGCGGGTAATATGGACAGTCTAGCGTAATTGTTCATGGATAATGGTAGCCTCGATGCTCCTACAGTTGGTGTCAGCAAGAATACTGGCATTTGTTTCTTTTGTCTTCCAGACAACTCGGAGGATGGAACATAGACTACGTTGGTGAAAGTTGTCAAGTGCCTTGATGTGCCTCTTGTATGTAACCATGTCTCACTGCCATATAGCAGGGTGGGGAGGACCACTGCTCGATATACGTGTAACTTTGTAGATAATTTCATCTCCCTACAGCTGAAGACACGGTTTCGGAGTCTGCCAAAGGCTTGAGATGCACATCTGATCCGATGCTGAATCTCTTCATCGATGTCCGCGGTGGTGGACAGGTGGGAGCCGAGATACCGAAAGTGGGTAACATTAGAGGGTAATACCATTAAGCTGGGTGGATGGTGGAGGTGTGTCTGAACCAGGGGCAGGCTGAAAGAGAATCTGAGTATTACGTACAGTAGGCCACAGGAATAAGTATACACACTGCAGCTGTAAGGTCCGAAAATGGTCTGGTAATGTTGAAACTGCGCATCCAGACGCATGATGAAACTCAGCTTCCCCCACCTGTTATCGCTAACTATTTTCTGTTTCCCCTTCTTTATTCTTCTATTTACTCCACTTCCTTTCTTTACTAATCCAAACATCAGTAAAAAAAAAGTAGGTTAAGAGAAAAAGTGGGGGAGGAGGAGGAGGAGGGAGCTGTACGATAACTGCAATCCCATTCGGCAACAAGTTTACTACCATTGGATACAATATATTACATGTAATATAAACACAAGACACTAGTACAACATTCACAACAAATGTATTTATGACATATATGTAGGAATAAAACATAAATTACAAGTCATTTTGTAATTTTGTCTGTTCAGGTCAATGTTACCAGATATTTTGCCTCAAACACGAACCGTAGGTGTATACTTATTCTTGTGGCCGACTGTACATTCACCTCAAGGCCGAAGTGTGCATACGCATCCGAGTAGGTGTTCAGGATCTCCTGTAAGTCGTGTTCAGTGTGAACAACAAGGGTAAGGTCGTCGGCATACTAAACTACAGTAATGGAAGCTGCCGACACCTTTGTTCTTGCCTGGAGTCGTCTTAAAAAGACCCTTCATCCGGTACTCGATGTCCACCCAGCCGGCTAAATTGGTACTGGCACGAGTGAGGAAGGCAGCCAAGAAAATGGAAAAGAGAGTTGGTGCCAGTACACATCCTTGTTGAACACCCGTTTGGATGGGGAAGAAGTCAGACTGGGTGCCATTGTGCAGGACACTGCTGTTTATGCCATCGTGGGGTTGACTCACAATGGCGATGAATTTTGGTGGACAGCCAAAACGGCTGGGGGTCCACCAGGGGGCTTCTCTGTTGACCAAGTCACGACGCTGTTCTCTGCACTTTTCCTGTATCTGGTGGGCAGCAAAGATCATGTCATTGGTGCCACGTGATGATCTAAAGCCACATTGAGGTTCTGGAAGGAAGTTTTCCGCCTCAGCGAGATCCCGCGGTAGTTGCCACAGTCTGACCGGTCTCCCTTGTTCTTATAAATATTGACGATGGAGTCGTCTTGAAGAGCGTGGGGGATTTCCTCTTTTTCCCATATATTCTATACACACACACACACACACACACACACACACACACACACACACACACACACACACCCTAACCAATTTCTCACATCTGGACAATTAAAATACACAAAATCATAAACAATTAAACATACAACATTTAACATCAAACATAAAAAATATGAACAAATTAAAAAATAAATAAAACAGGTATATAAAAACCTTACCTTTATTATTTCCATACAAAACAGGAATACAAAAATTTCGCTAAACTATATACCTTCAGGAAAAAATAAATAAATAAATACAAAATAAAATACATAGAATAACAATATTTTTTACGCTTGGCGCTTCACTGTGTACTGTCTTGGGATAGTCTTGTTGTATAATGTATTTTCTTTGGGGAAAATAAAATGGTTAATGTGTGTTTTGTGATGTTGAGGCGGGAGGGGTGTAGTTTGGGGTTGTTAGGTGGGGAGGGAGGCGGGGGAAGGGGGTTAGGAGAGGAACGTAGGAAGGGGAGGTAGGGAAGGGACGGGAGAGGAGAGGAGATGAACGAGGGAAGGAGGGAGAGGGGAGGGGAGGGGGTGGAGGGAGAGTGGGGGAGGGGGGAGGTGGAGGGGGAGGTGGAGGGAGATGTACTTGGGTTCAATGATGCTGTGACCTTGGGGAGTAACTTAGGGACTTAAGTCAATCCGCATCACTTTCCTGACTGACTGACTGACTGACTGACTGACTGGTTACTTAAGCTAGGCAGTGTCCTTGTTGGTTGACTGCCTCCGTTTTCTCAAGAAGTAGTATTGTAGTTTCTTTCGTAAACTGCACGAGACAGACAGACAAACAGACAGACAGACAGACATAAAAAGAGAAGATAGGAAGATAAAGAGAAAAAGACCGAGAAAAAAAAAAGAGAAATAAAAATGAAAGAAAGAAATAAAAATCCTTCAAAGGCTGGTCGAGATTTCAGGTTTTTCCACATTCTTTTGATCTCAACATTCCATCCTACTTTACTTTCTTCCTTCTTACTCCCGCAACCATTTCCTTTCTTTTTTTGCTTTGTTTTGGCCACTTTTTTTTATAGTAATAATGGAGTTTGAGGTTCATTCTTCCTTCATATTTTCTATATCTTTCATTACTTATATAATTCTCTTCTTTCAAACACTCATCTATTTTCCATTTTCTTTCCATTATCTATTTTTCTTTTTTCTTGATGTTGTATTTTTATGCCTTTTTCTTTTTTTATTAATTAATTTTTTTCCTCTACCATAACGTCTCCACTACCCAGCTATTAGAGAGAGAGAGAGAGAGTCTTCCTGGAAAATGATAAAGAGGTAAGACGAATACTGAAGAAAAACCAATTTAAAAGCGAAACATTGAGACCAAGACATAGAGGGAAAGGAGACAGGAGAGGGGGGGGGGATCTCGTTAGCCAGACATCGAAGAGGAGAATTCATGTAGCGAGACCTAGAAGTCGAGGCCGAAAAGTCAGGGAGGAATAACATGGCTAGTTTAAGCTAGGATTTTCGACTGTGGGACCTCAACAACGAGACCTGAAGAGCGAGACCACAAAAAAACGAGACTTCGAATAAGAAATGAAGAAAACGAGTATTTCGAATTCGAGACCACGAGACCACGACACCGAGATCTTTTATCTCTCTCCCCAGCGTGCGAACAGGATGAGTAAAGAGATGATCTAACTTCTGTAGCAGGTTGGGTCTGGTCGGGTCTGGTTGGGTCTCCCGTTGGGGGACCTTCACCAGCGTCAGTATAATTGGTGGGCGGTCTACGGGGAAATAAACCCAGGGCGGGGCCACACGACCAAAAATACGCCACAGTTACATATGGTTTAGTGATTTCACGATGACTGAAGCTGCCAAAAGCAGGAAGTGGTGGTGGGTCAATGCGGTGTTGTGAGTGTGTGTGGTGTTGTTGTGGGTGTGCGGTGTTGTGGGTGTGTGTGGTGTGGGTGTGTGTGGTGTTGTGGGTGTGTGTGTTGTGGGTGTGTGGTGTGTGGTGTGTGGTGTTGTGGGTGTGTGTGTTGTGGGTGTGTGGTGTTGTTGTGGGTGTGTGGTGTTGTGGGTGTGTGGTGTTGTGGGTGTGGTGTTGTGGGTGTGTGGTGTTGTGGGTGTGTGGTTGTGGGTGTGTGGTGTTGTGGATGTGGTGTTGTGGGTGTGTGGTGTTGTGGGTGTGTGGTGTTGTGGGTGTGTGGTTGTGGGTGTGTGTTGTGGGTGTGGTGTTGTGGGTGTGTGGTTGTGGGTGTGCGGTGTTGTGGGTGTGTGGTGTTGTGGGTGTGTGGTGTTGTGGGTGTGTGGTGTTGTGGGTGTGTGGTGTTGTGGGTGTGTGGTGTTGTGAGGTGTTGTGGATGGTGT